AATTTCCTACCAACGAAAAAGTATTAGGTGTGTCCCGCGCGCTCATATGACCTTATGCAGTTGCGAGCGCCGTAAAACCCTATACTAAACAAACAACAACAACATTAATTTTAGAAAATCCGGAAGTGATATTTCGCGAGGCGCGTTTTGTTTTAAGAGTATAGATCTAGACCTTATAAGTTTTTGAATCTCTCAAGATTTATTGCCCCATTCCAGTAGAGTGTAAATATAGTAGGCCAATGACTTTTAGTTGATGTTAAAGCACCGGCCTAGACGGTCAGAGAACGGTTAGTATAAGGACGTATAGGCACCGCCGATCATTCCTTTCATCGAAAGGGGGCCCAGCTAGTATATATATAAAATGTGAGACAGCGTGGTGAAATCAGACGCTCGTCAAAATAATCAAAGTAAAGAAATTGGCATTTTTCTGCAGGTTTGAGGATTTTTTTTCCTTTTTAATTTAATTGAAAAACGTTAAAAGCACAAAACATGTAAATTTTCAGCTTCCACGGACTCGCAAAGTTAAGAAGATAACTAATCTTTAGCGGCCATTTTCTGACTGATTTCACCTCTGAAACCAGGTGACCACCACCTCCTTCATTCGTAAATATCTCGACTTATATTTTTAATAAATTGATTTTTTAATCAAAAGAAAGACAAATGAGCAAGCTTTTGGATGACACCAATAACTCTACACACCCAAAAATCGACGAGAGCCTGATTCCAGCGTGTCGTGTGGCACAAATTTATCTGACCTTGATTCTTGGCTCGAATTTCAATTTCTCTTACAACTGTTTGAAACTGCATGTGAAGATATTAACCGACACGTAGGGGGGGGGGTTATTGTTTTAAGTTTTGTTTTGCTTTGTTCGGTTTGATTTGATTATAATAAATGTGAGGCAGCGTGGTGGAATCAGGCTCTCGTCAAAATAATCAAAGTGAAGAAACCTGCATTTTTCCACAGGTTTGTGAATTATAATCAATTTTTTGTTTTTTGGACAAACACCTTTCATGCCCATTAAAGAACTCATTTCAGTGTGGATTTGTTTTAAGAACGTTGATTTAAGGCACAAAAAATTTTAATTTTCAGACACCACGGACTCTTAAGCTAAGGAAATAATTAATCTTTGGCGGCCATTTTCTCACTAATTTTACCACTGAAAACAGGTGACCTCTACCTCCTTCTTTAGCAAATATCTCAACTTGTGTTCAAGATAAATGGATATTTTTTCCATCCAAAATCAAACAAGTGAACAAGCTTTAAGATGATACCAATATCTCCACATGCCCAAAAATTGACGAGATCCTGATTCCACCACGCTGCCTCACAAATGTATATTGCATGTGGGCTCAAGACCTAATTAGATGTACATGTATTTTTCTTAAGTCAAAAGTTAATGCATTAGGCTACGACAGAGATTAAATAAATTTTTTGCTTATGACGATGGAACTCTTAGTCCCCAGACAGAACAGTTTGAAAAAGTTTTTTTGCTAGGATTTGAATGTTTCTTTATTTGTACAATTTATGTAACCTAGTTTCATTTTTGTTGTTTTTTGTGGGGGGGTTTGGGGGGGGAGGTGGTTTGTTGTTTGTTTTTGTTGTGGGGTTTTTTGTTGGGGGGGGGGTGTATACTGCGTACGGTAATTGTTAAATGGTTGCATGTGGAGTTATTGGTATCATCTGTTAAATGGTTGCCATCAGAATACTTTGTGTATTGTTTAGGCTCTTCACCTTACAAGCAAAGTCCCTAAGTTTGATTCCCAATATGGGAATTTATTCTAAGGTACATCTTTGTCTTTCTGTTGGTATGTATGTATCTCACATAGCTCGGGTTGGCTCTGACTGGCAATATCAAAGCATTTTGCATTCTAAATGATAACATTTTTTCTAATGGGTTCATACAAAAAAAAGTTCCAGATTTTCTTCTATTTGTTCACAGGGCTATGACACCACAGCTGGACTGGAAGTTTTTATTGACAAAATCATGGAGGAAGATGCTGTAGTCATTCAGGTTTGACCTTACGTTGATTAAGAACCAACATTAGACCGGGGCCTGTGGTTTTGCAGTTTGGCCGAGAGCTTCGCTGGGGGCTCTCATGGCCTAGATGTTAAGGCGTTCGCCTCTCATTCAATGATCCCGGGTTCGAATCCGGGTAGCGACGGAAAAATTGTCTGCTCTAAAATTGTCTTTCATCTCCTTTTCTGCTCTCTAGCAATGTTCTGTCGTCTGCTTTCGTCCCCACTTTCTGCCCCCACCTCCTCACCTCCTTTGCCCCCCTCCTCTGGACTTCTGACTCTTTCTGCAGCCTTTCTACTGTTACTCCTTGGCTCCTCACTGCTGTCTTTCAGCCACACCCCTGATCTTCTGGTAGGAAAGATTTACACCTAGCCTTCTCGGACAAGGGTGAAAAATCTCGGAGGTCCCATGTGCAAGTTGCGCACGTTAGAGATCCCTTTGTGGTCTAAAATCTATAAGAGTAGGCTTCGGCCACCACCCTGGCAAAATTCAAAATTTCCTACCAACTGAGAAATGTTTAGAGTGCCCAGCGCTCTCATATGACCTTATGCAGTTGCGAGCGCCGTAAAACACTTACCAAAAAGAAAGAGCTTCGCTGTGGCACACAGCAGACCTGAGTTTGCTTCCCAGGTGGGGAGGACATTTGTGAGGCAGCGTGGTGGAATCAGGCTCTCGTCAATTTTTGGGCATATTGAGTTATTGGTATCATCTTAAAGCTTGTTCATTTGTCTTGTTTTCAATGAAAAAATTACCCATTCATCTTCAATAGAAGTCGAGATATTTGCAATTGAAGGAGGTGGGGGGTCACCTGTTTTCAGAGATAAAATTAGTGAGAAAATGGCCGCCAAAGATTAGTTATTTCCATAGCTTAAGAGCCTGTGGTAACTGAAAATTACATTTTTTGTGCCTTTAATCAACGTTTTTCAGAAAATCCACACAGAAATGGGTTCTTTAATGGGCATGAAGGGTGTTGAGCCAAAAACCAAATAATGATAAAAATTCACACAAGCCTGCGGAAAAATGCAGGTTTCTTCACTTTAATAATTCTGACGAGAGCCTGATTCCACCACGCTGCCTCATATATTACCAACATGAGCTAAATGTGTTGACATCAACAAGGCTGTAATTTTGTTTCTTTTTTGGTTTTTTGGTTTTTTTGGGGGGTGATATTTTGTTTAACCATTGTCTGTTCCATTTTATGAGAGTTGTGGAGTGTCATTTTAATAGCTGATAAATAAGACCCTTAAATTTACCCTGAGAGTGTCGGAAAACTAATAATGATGGTGTTTTGCTCTGACAACATACCTGGTAGGTCAACTCATTTCGGGTTCTCAAAACCATTGTCAAAGGTCATCTTCAGGTCCTCACTTTTTAAAAAATTAGGAGTCCGTGTACTTTATGAAAGTACTGTGGGTTAACATTTTGTGAGTACTCTTGTCATTTGAATCAGATGGGGGGGGGGCGGTGGGGTTGTGTGTTGAGAAAAATTCTCAAGAGCCCAGCTTCACAGCTAGTGCATAACACCATCACTATCAATAAACTGTCTAAATGTGTTCTTTTTGCCTGATAAGTTCTGTGTACTCAAGCACACCAATGATCGATCACGATTATGGAGACATCAGTTGACAAGCTGACATGATTGCTCACAGACAGACAGACAGGTAGATAGATGGATGGACTGTCAGGCGAATGGACGGACGAGCAGGCAGACCGACAGGCAGACCGACAGGCAGACCGACAGGCAGACCGACAGGCAGACAGACAGATAGACAGACGGACAGACAGACAGACAGATGGGAGGACTGCCAGGCGAATGGACAGACGAGTAAACAGACAGACAGACAGACAGACAGATAGACAGACATGATTATGAAGGATCTGTTCTGCATCTAACGTACGCCATTATTCCATTTACTTACTAGATCAATTAATTACTTATAGTGCGCTGATGTAAGTACGCATATAATGAGTTCCAGATATAAACAATGTGGGTGGCTGGCGCGTGTCCTGGTGTGGTTTGCTCCTTCTTTTCTATCAAACATATATCGTATATATCTCCCTCCTTCTTGTTTTGTGTTTGTTACTCCCTTGCAACACCTCTAATCATCTGGCGCTCATATGACCTTAGATGCAGTTGCGAGCTCCTTAAAACATCTACTAAAACAACAGATAACAACAATGTACAAGAAACAAGGTCAAAATTCGCCACCTGATATCACAACGTGACAACAATAACTTCTTAACTGTGTCATTGAAAAAAGGCCAAAGATTGAGATGACGACTGTTGAAGCATTTCCATATTCCCATGACCTTCGACACTTGAGCCTTAGAGCATGCATCAAAATAACATTGAGTGTGTATCTAGCTTACGATTATTATTGTTTATATTGCTGCTCATTTCTATTATGCATGTGATTGTAAGCCTACTTGTGTGTGCATGTGTGTGCAC